TGTCTGCATTTGTGAAAGAGAAAGAAGATGGGTAAGGTGGAAAATTTTCTCTGCAGGTTGGGTACATGGGTAGACTTTCAGTCCAAGGGGAGGGGAAGATTGGGAGGAAATCTAGTCTTTTTAGGTTTTGTTTATTAGGATTTTGCTAATGGAGAGCTTGAGAAGGTATTTTTCTGTTACTATTGTTTGAATTGCAGAAGTATCCCAAGTCTTTGTTTTCTCATGCCAAGTGACACATGCTTTTCCAGTCCCTTCTCATTTCTGGAACTGATACATGTAGAGTCAGTGCTGTAGCTGTAACAAGCTTTTTAAAGTCAATGGCAACCTCTGAAAGCTTGTCTGTAATGCAAAACAAAGCCCTGCACAAATAAGACAACAGGCAACCAGATAAGCAATACAAAACAAAACATAAAAATGTAACTGTGGTGTCAAGGACGCATATGGGTCGTAGTTAATATTTTTAAAATACTGCTTAGGAAACAGGATGAAACTTTGCACCAACCTGGTGTTCAAGTACATCTTTGCTCTTACTGTTGCCTACAGCTACAGAGGTGCTGCACGTGACTGGTGGCACTACCTTTGTTTTTACAAACAACACCTGATGGCTGGTTACCAAAGTGTCACCAAGCACCTCTGCCACACAAGGGTGTGGGACCAGCCTTGGTCTTTCAGCAGGGAGTTCTTGTCCTTGCCCTGCTATATCTCCAGCTCCAGACAGCCCTGCCTTGAGGTTTAAGTTTCCTTTTCCTTGAAGAATGCTATTTACTTTCTAGCCCAGTTGTCTCAGAAGGCATGCACACATCTATCTCCGCTTACCCTCATGCTTAACTTTTAAACCAAATGAAGAATTTCAGAGAAATTTGGCAGCAGGGAAAAGCTCTCAGCTGGATAAGCATCTCTACAGCCTCCCAAGGAGGCTACGGAGACATTATCGCTATTTCTTATGTGCGATGTAATAGTGAGAAGGATGCTGTGGCAGCTCAGCTACATAAGCTTTTAATTGACCACAAGAAGTCTGTATTTATTTCACTTGTAATAAAGAAATAGGACCTGTAGCTGGTTGAGAACTTTGTGGACTAACAGACGGAAGGGGAGTGGGAATTACTTGAACAGAGAAGGCATTTGGTATACATCATAAAGCCCTACCACTTGTACTGGGCTGAACTGGAACATGTTTTGATTTGGATGTTTAGACATTGGCTAATGAGAGTGTTTAGATAAGGTATCTGTGAGGTTGGACTGTTTTGGCACCAAGGCTATTCCAAAGCTATATTTTGGGTCACTGTGATGTTAATGGAATTGTAAATATGGAACTACTAGGTATGGAAGTGAACTGCTTTTAGTCAGTGAAATACATGAATCCATAAAGAAGTGTGTAGATTTGATGATCTGAGTTGTAAAAGTGTGTTTGAGGAATAGCCATAGATTTCCCTAAAACAACACCTTTGCCATTTATGATTCATTTTGTCCTGCCAAGCCAAGAAAGTTGTGACCCAGAAATGGATAACAAAGTGCTGCCAAGTTTTCAATTTAAAAGATGTTTCTTTTGAGTGGCTGTTACAGTGTAAATAGGAAATAATTTTGCCTCTTAATTTCTGCTGAAGTAAACCTTTGGCTTTTTGTAATAATTTTAATACATCTTGTCAGACTTGAACCTAGCAATGCTCACTGAATCTTGTGTAATCTAACACAGCAGCTTGCCCTGTCATGAGAAATATGTGAATTAGACATTAGACACAGTTATCACTAGAAAAAAATATTGGGAAAATAAGTCTTGCTCATTTTCTGTTCACAGAACTGTGTGGTCTGTAGTATGCCTAACACTCAGGAGCCTTCCCAGTCTAGAAAAATAAAAATACATACAGTACCCATATTTGTGTTATTAAATCAGCAACAGTAGAAGTAGTCTGAAGGGCTATGCGGTGTAGCTTTCATAGGAAGTACCTTCAGTAATAAATATGCCACTTAAAATGAGTATAAACAGTTTATAATACACCATTTCTGAAATTTATTGCAGCCTTGAACATTACATTGCACTTACCACAATGGACCTTACAGCTATAAACTACTGTAATGTGTATCAGCTGCACATCAGTAATGATCATTATCAGTTAGGTACAAAAAATTATTTCCAGCATCACTTATAAAGAGCAATTTTAAATTATCCCTTTAAAAAGCTTCAGTAAAGACAAGGTTTTTTCTTCCGATAAATATCTGTTTATTTACAGGTACAATCTGACCTGTTAATGAACCTTATTTAAACTATAGCCACAAGCACTGATACAAAAAGCTTTTTCCATTCTTAACACAAATCTAGTTTCATAAATCAAAGCTACCATGCATTTCTGATTATTCTTAACAGAAAACATTATTCAAATATATTCATTGCTTAATTTCTGCCACCCACTCTGTCATACATTAAGTTTTCATTGCTCGATGTAGTAAGTCTAGATGAATTCCTGGGCAAGACAGCTCCCACAGGCAGGGCAAACCTTGTCAGAAGGTAAATCTTTCCCTTCCATTAATTAATAGTCTTTAACACCAATGATAAAAAAAAAGCTCCTGTCCATAATTATTTCATGTGTGGCTTTGACTGCCAGAAGGACTGCCTGCCCACGAGAAGGAAGATGTGTGGGCAGGGAGGGTTAACTCTCTGAGGGATGGAGGCAGCTGAAACTCTTGCAACAGAAACAGAGTGTGGCAGGCAGCGAGGGAGTCACACTTCAGGACAGTGTCTTATCAGGTGTGTCAGTATACCCCTAGGATGGCTTTTAGTGTGGAGCAGATGTGATAAGTCTCTTACAGCTCTAAGATATAATTTTGTTTTGTTTTGCTTTGATTTGTTTCGAGGAGATAAGATGCTGACACACTTATGATATGTGTTTCTGGTTTGTGTAAGAAGGAAGAAATGTAGCAAGGAAAATCCTGTCACAAATTGACTCTTTAGCATCTGAATCCATGTGCAGTTCATGTATGGTCACCTAGAAAAAAATCAAAGGGAATCAAAACCAAACCCACAGATCTTGTATCTTTTGTAAGGAAATACTAGGTTTATCTGAGGGTTGCTCTCCAGACAAGGCACTAGGCATGCTGAATGATAGTTAAATGCTAAGAAAAATGTGTAATCACTAAGAGAAGAAGGGAAATATACCAATACGATCTCAAAGTTCTCATCTGTTTGCCTTTTTGCCTTCAAGAAAATAGCTAAGGATCATTGCATTAAAAAAAAAAAATCGCACATCTTAAGCTCAATGCTTAAGGAGTTGTGTTGTCAGAGCAAAGAAGGACTAGAAAATATCTCAAGAGACCATTACACTATGCCTCTGCCCCAAGATCAGATTAACAATGCCAATGTCATCTTAAAGACTTTTACTGAGAGAGGTACCATAACCTCCCTAGGCAATCTACTCCAGTGCTTAATTATCCTTATTCTTAGGAAGTTTTTCTGAAGTCTTGCCTCGGTCTTTCTCACACTTAAGCCCATTACCTCTTGTCCTGTCAGTCTTGGCTGTGAAGAACAGATTACAGTTGGGCCCAACTATACATTCGTGAAAAGAGCAGGATAGCAAAAGCAATTTTTCCCACAAGAATTAATGTGATGGAGGGGAAATGCGTACAGGGACTTAAGAACTACACACAGCTTAAATTCACAGGGAGCCAAGAGCAGGATCACTTGGAAGAGAGTCTGGCTTTTCAGCAGCTGGCTTTTCAGCATAGATGACTGTTCTGAAAGCTCAGCTGTGCTGTCTGTGAGACTGAATATCCAAGGAAACTCTCGCTGTGTATGCATTCTTGATGTCTCTCTCTGGATGGTTGCATCTTCATCTTCCTTATATGGATCAAGGTCAATCAACTCAATCATAAGTTAAGGACAGAAAAATGGGGTAATGATGGTGGTTAGTGGAGCACAGTATTCAATGGTCAGCAGCAGAACTCCTAAGAGGTGGACAGAGAAGTGGAGAACAGTGAGGTGCCACTGTATTCCCTTAATGTCTGCTGAAGCCCTTTATGCATACAGAAATGATTGTCGTGTTCCCTCAGTATTTTCTCTCCTGCAAACCATCCAACACTCATTTGCTCTGCGTTTTCTTGCTGTTCATGTAAAGTAGTGAAATGGGTTCAGAGAGATGACCTGGTCACTCTTTATTTTGTGGGCCAGCTTGCTTTCTGGAAGGACTGGCTGCCTGAACTAGTAGGAGAAAGGAGGGACTGCTGCTGCCTCAGCTGGTAGCAGCTTAAATCGCTCTAGAGTTGTAGTGTTAGTTCTTGGACACCATCCTGCTGTAACTTCAGCCTAATACAATAATACATTTTCTAACATGTGAGGATGAGGAAGATCCTAGTTCAATATCATTAAGGGTACCAAAGTTAGGCACCTGAAACTGATTGGGGTCCTACATAAAAACAACCTAATTTTCCAGGATTTTGAGCAGTCTTCTGACTCGACATAAGATAGTGACATTTTAATAGAGTAATTTTTATTTAAGAGCCTAAACACAGATTCAGATGTGTAAATCCAGACATGTGGCTTTGAAATAAACACAAAAGTAAAACCAAACATAAACCTTTAAGACCAGAACTATGTACATGTACGATGTGAAACCATGAGGGGGAAAAATGGGTTTTAGCAATGAAGCTAAATCTAAGATTAATTTATCTATGTAAGAGTCTATTATAAAGTCTAAAACTATGACTTGTTTTTATTTTTATCTAATTATCTCATTAGTCTTAATAAATATTACAAGTTTGGAGAATGGGGTGAACAAATGCATGGGAAACATCTACTGACTGTGAATAAGGGGTGAAAGTGGCCTTTGGAAGAGGTTAAGATGTGGCTGCTATATGCTTTTGGAATGGATTTCATATGCCTGTCACCCCTCTGGGGTAAGACAGTAGGTTCCCATCCCTCTGGGATGTGAATTTATTTTCTGAGGGTTGGGCATAGCTTAGGTGGAGGCAGAGTGAGCTCTCCCTGTGTGATGGCTGGGTGTGTGAGAAACTTAACCCTCTGGAACAGGGTCATGGGCTCCCTCACATCGACCAAGCCCTGTACAGGGGGTAATAGTTTCTAGGGATAGCTCTGCCTCGCAATCTAATTGCAAAATAGCTGGTACCTGGTGACCCTTGGGGCTGCTGCCAGGGGCAGCCTGTGTCTGAGAAGTCACAGGCCTCTTCTCAATAGACATCTCCTCACTGCTGTCCTCTCCCTGAAGGCTTATGGCATGGGGTACAGGCTGTACCCAGGCAGTGACAGCTGGGGGAGGTACTGACGATGAGGCAGCTGCTTCCTTATGGCAGGTGGTGTCATGGTGATAGGAAACCAGCTCATTGCTGAAGTTGACCTTCTCCACAGTGGATCTGGGTGTGCCACAGCAGAAGCACTGGCAGCCCAGGAGGTTGCTGAAAGCCCGCCTGAAGTCTGAGTTGAAAGCATAGATCACTGGATTTACTGAGGAGTTGGCCCAGCCAAACCACACAAAGATATTGAAGGTGGTTTGGCCGACACAGGGTGACTGTCCTTCATGGTCTCTTTCGTGCTTGGGCTGGCAGAAAGGCAGCAGACAGTTGAGCAGGAAGAAGGGCAGCCAGCAGCAAACGAAGACTCCCATTATGACAGAGAGGGTCTGCAGCACCTTGGTCTCCTTGCGCAGGGAACTCCGCAAAGAGGAGGTGGGCTCCTTGCTGTGAGCTGGCCACTGTCCCCCAGCTCGCTCAAGGGTGGAGATGCGGCGGATCTGGGCCTGGGCAATTCGGTAGATCCTGGTATAGGTGATGATCATGATGGCCACGGGGATGTAGAAGCTGATAAGGGAGGAGGTGATGGCGTAAGTGCGGTTCAGGCTGACATCACAGCGGGGTGTCCCAGGCAGCCAGGAGCCTGGATATCTTCCATTCTTGGCTTTGTGCCAGTGTAGCTGCACTGGGACAAAGGAGATGAGGATGGAGAGGGCCCAGGCCATGGCTATCATGGCGCAGGCAAGGCGCTGCGTCATCCTGCGCTCATAGCGAAAGGGGCTGGCGATGGCCCAGTACCGGTCCAGGCTGATGATGCAGAGGTGCAGGATGGAGGCAGTGGAGCACATGATGTCGAAGGCCACCCAGGTGTCACAAAAGTGGCTGCCGAAGAGCCAGGAGCCGCCAGCTACCTCAGTGACTGCCTTCCAGGGCATCACCAGGAGGGCCACGCAGAGGTCCGAGACGGCCAGGGACAGCACGAACCAGTTGGTGACCTTGGCGCGCAGGTGGCGGAAGCGCAGGATGGCCAGGCACACCAGCGCGTTGCCCACCAGCGTGCTCAGCACCAGGGCGCCCA